AGCATCCTCAGGAGTGTCAATTTTGATGCTTTAGAATCTGCCCTTAATGTCAAGTTTGAAGACAGGGGCCTCTTGGTAGAAGCTATTACTCATGCTTCACGACCATCTTCTGGAGTCTCTTGCTACCAGCGGTTAGAGTTTGTTGGTGATGCAGTTCTGGATCATCTTATTACAAGGCATTTGTTCTTCACTTATACTGATCTTCCACCTGGCCGCTTGACTGATTTACGAGCTGCTGCTGTAAACAATGAGAACTTTGCACGTGTTGCAGTTAAACACAAGCTCCATTTACACCTTCGGCATGGGTCCAGTGCCTTGGAAAAGCAGGTTTTTCATTTCTTTCTTTCTTGCTTGTGACATAATATCATCATTAAATTGCTTTTGTGGTTGTTTGATATACATGACCTGCGAACACTGATTGTTGAATTGTCTATAAGGGTTATGACCATTAGGTCTTTTGGCTTCTTTTTCCAGATCAGGGACTTCGTAAAGGAAGTTCAAGATGAATTGTCAAAGCCAGGTTTCAACTCTTTTGGTTTAGGAGATTGTAAAGCACCAAAAGTCCTTGGCGATATTGTTGAATCCATTGCTGGTGCTATATTCCTTGATAGTGGACATGATACTACTGTTGTGTGGCAGGTTAGTTTGATCTGGTTGACCTATGAGCATTATTTTTCGCAAAATGCCCACTCAGAAAACGAAAAAAAAAAGATAAACAAAAAAAAATAGAATTTTGGAAAACAGTTGAGGTTTGCTTTTTTCGGTTGGAAATTGAAGGTGAATACAGAGAGAGAATCTGGAGTAATGAATTGTCTTTTTCCTTTACAGGTTTTTCAGCCCTTGTTGCACCCAATGGTCACTCCAGATAGACTCCCAATGCATCCTGTCAGGGAGCTGCAAGAACGCTGCCAGCAGCAGGCTGAAGGCTTGGAGTATAAGGCCTCTCGAAATGGCAACTTGGCTACAGTTGAAGTCTTTGTTGATGGAGTACAGGTTGGGGTTGCTCAGAATCCACAAAAAAAGATGGCGCAGAAACTTGCTGCACGAAATGCTCTTGCTGTTCTGAAAGAAAGGGAGACATCTGATGCTAAGGTGAACAATGATGGAAAGAAGAAAAATGGTAACCAAACATTTACGAGGCAGACACTGAATGACATATGTTTGCGTCGAAACTGGCCAATGCCATTATATAGGTAAGGGACTGAATTTGTCCTGTGTTACTGCAACTTGTGAAATATGATCATTTATTGTTCAATTTATATGCAATTTTAGGTGTGTAAATGAGGGTGGCCCTGCACATGCAAAGCGGTTCACGTTTGCCGTTCGTGTAAACACCACCGACAGGGGATGGACGGATGAATGTGTGGGGGAGCCCATGCCAAGTGTCAAAAAGGCGAAGGACTCTGCTGCTGTTCTTCTCTTGGAACTTCTAAACAAATGGTACTCTTGACATTAAAATCGTATTTTTAATGGCCCTTAATATGCATTCATGCTCCGGACTCGAAGAAAGATGGGAGGCTTGCAACTTGTGATACTTTTCCCCTCTTCTTCTCTTGCCTGACCAAGTGCTACAGGGATGTGTTTTTTATTTTTTATTTTTTCTGTTAATACGAGGTCTCTCGCTGTATAAGTATGGAAGGGGATTTTCGTGAAGAGCTTCGACCGTTGCTTGGTTACACACTCTCTTGTCATAGAGAGAGAACACCAGAAATAGGAGAGGAACACTGATTATACAGGAATTAATAAACGACTTTTATGAAATGTTTCTCCATCAGCTCGACTGAAAAGTAAAAAGGAGCAGGGCCCTTATGGAGACAAATGATAGGATTGGGATTTTTCTAGGATTGTCAATTGATATCTGATGGCAATAATAGCTTATTTGGAAAAATGGGATGCCTACTGTCAAATAAATTGTCTATTAAACCAATGCAGGAGAGAAGTTTCCGAGTGTCCATTACAAAACGTCACATGTCGAGCATCGATTGGTTCTCCAACCTCTAACTCGTGCAATTTTCTCCAACCTCTAACTCATGCAATTTTATATGTATAATCGCTTGCATTGCTTATAAAAATAAATAAATAGAAAAAAATTTCATTGCCCACAAAAATAGTTAGCATAGATTGTTATCGATGATAAAAATATTTTCCATTGACTAATTTTTATTAACGATATAAGCAGTCATTTTCCAGAAAATGTTTTTCAAATCACTCATTTTTCGCGAAATGAACGCACCCAAAAATGTACCTTTGTTTTTTTTTTTTTTTGGTAAGGAAAAATGTACCTTTGTAGTCTTTTATATTTTACAGTCAATTCACTAATATACTTATTATGAGTTTCTATTCTTTAACTTAACCTGTTTCATTTTGTTTTGATAATCTTTTCACGACAATTTACAATGAAATCCTAATTTCAATAGTTTGTTCCCTTTTTTAAGTATATTTATCATATGAAACTCAAATATAGGATGAAAAAAGAGAATATTGTGATATTTTTGTTAGGTTGTACAATTAGTATCAATAATTTATATTTGATCTAATGATAGAAGATGTTGTTTTTTTATTCTAATTATGTCACAACCCCGCTAATAATTATGTTTATATATAGGGAAAATTCCAAATAAGGGCTTGAAATGTCCTCATTTTCTCAAATAAAGATCTGAAGTGGATTTTGTTTCAAATAAGGACATGAAGTGACTAAAAAATGACCTATCTTTCAAAATGGTAAGGGCATTTTCGTCTTTTAACTCTATTTTTTTCCTTTTTTCTTTCTTTTTTTTTATTTTTTTGGTTTCTTTTTGTTCTTTGCCGATTTCCGGCACTAGCCACTTGCGAAGTCCAGGAAGGGTTGGTAGTGAGGCGACCCTCGCCCTGGGCTAGGCCATCCTCAAATGCCACAGGCGAGGGTCAGTCTCGCCTGGGCAAGGGGTGGTTGGCGAGACCCTCGCCTATGGCTTTCGAGGTCGGCCTTGCCCAGGGTGAGGGTCGCCTCGCCGAGATGAGGCCGGTAGCCGGCAAGGCGACCCTCACCTAGATCTGGCAAGGGCCAGCCTCGCCCATGGCCAGCAAGGACGGCCTTGCCCGATCTAGGCGAGGGTCACCTCACCCAAGCAAGGCCGTCCCTTGCCTATTGCCGGCGATGGTTCCCCGCCCAGGTGAGAATAAAGAGAAAAAGGAAAAAAAAGAAAAGAAAGGAAAATATAAATTGTCTTTAGACGAAAATGCCCTTGACCGGTCAAAATAAATTCGCCGGCCGGAAACCGGCGAGGTCATGCCCTTATTTGAAACTCTCATGGCCACTTCAAGTCGTTATTTGAGATTGACATGCCACTTCAAACTCTTATTTGACACAAAATCCACTTCAAGCCCTTATTTAAGAAAATGAAAGAACTTTATGTCCTTATTTGGAATTTTCCCTATAATATATATATGCTCCTAATTTGCAAGAACTAGTTTATCTTTATTGGATTGGTTTGATTTTTATAAAACAAAAGTAAAAGTAATTAAACTGATAAAGAAAGTTGTTTTTCTTGATCAAATTGTTGATAGATAAATAATTTTCTTTATAGAATTAGCTCATTTTTAATCAATTCATAAACAGTTCTTTTCATGTAAGTATATCTTTTCTAATTTCATTTTATTTACAATTATTCACCTTTCATTGTAGATAGATCAATACATTCATAAAGCATCATACTTTGTTATTGCCTAGTACAACATGGAAAAAAAAAATTCCATGTTATCAAATGAGCTTAAATACTGACATTTTCATTTGTACAGTAAACAAAGTTATGTTTCAGCATGAGAGTATTTGGTTCATCAATACTATTATCATTACTTTGATAACAAATAATCAAATTTTTGCACAAAACTATTATTCTTTAATGAATTATAATGATGTTGAAATGATTTTTTAGCTGAAAAACTGTTTTTTATAGAAAATTTAGTTTTTTGCAACTGCATTGTGGGGCCGCTCTAGTTAGAACTATTGTACAGGCCTTATAAAGAATCGACATATAAATAGAGAAATAAGAAAAATAACTTTTCTGGTCCTGCGAAATGCGAAATCTAAAATATGCGGGATATTCTTCCTTAATTGGGGATCGAACTATATAAAAAGCACGACGAATTTGAGACATGATAAAATATCTATTGATGTCCCTACTCCATGTATTTTATTGAAGAATTAAATTACTACTCAATAGAGAAATATGAAATTATTACATGATGAGATCATTTCTTGGTTACTGTAGAATTCAATTGCTCAAATTTCTAGTGTAAATTCAACAACTGAATACCATAAACCTATCAAATAGATGATATCATTTTGTCATTTTCTCCATGAACATAAGCATAGTTTAATTCCCTTTTATTATTCCAAGAATCTATCCCGAACCTGCCACAAACCAACAACATAAAATAAAAAGCTTCAGTCGAAGTCGAGTTCCCATTGCGTGCTTGCAATTCATCCAAAACCCACAATAATATTTCTACCTATACAAATTGTCGCATTTAATATAATAAATTAACTCAAATTTACAATCACAATATAATAAAAAAATATTAAGAAATGCAAAACATAAGATTTTGTAATGATGACTATTTCAAAAATATATATATTTGTGCAAGGAGTAACATTAAGTTTTCTAAAAGAGTAAGGAGAGTTTTATGTATAGCAAGCCAAGTTCCGTTAGGTACATCCCTAAGTAGGGCTAGGTTTTTGTATAAAGGACATCAAATCCGTACCTGGCAACCCATTTATCTCCTATCAGGATGGGGAACCCTATTATGGTCCAACCCCCCTTCCGTCCCTACTCAGTTTTATAACATCAGTGTGAGTGATCCAACTGAACAAACACAGTCAAGCTAAGTGTTCAGGAACTCCGTGCACCATTAGCTGTACGCTACTATGCTTTTGTCTTCATTTAACCCGAAAGAACAATATGAAAGAGTGTCATCATACCAAAATCGAGCACCTAAATTTTGAAAAAAAATCAGCTAGAAACACAAGAAAATCAATGGTTCATAGAATTCTCATATCGAAATTCTCTCAGCAAATTATTAGTCCACTACATCAGGATACCACCATCACCGATTATTCACCAGAAGTCCAACCAAGTGGGCAGAGACGGATAAAACCAAGCATGAACATAATAAAAACAGATCTTGACAACATTCCATCCATTGCTTTGTCAAACATCTTGCTGAACTTGAAAGAAAGCCCGCAATATTATCGCCTCAGGGTGTGCAAAATGTATTCAGCATAAAGGTCCCTGTACCAATAATTCAAAAATTTCAAGTTTGATTAATAAATCTGTTCTCACTTACAACCCACACCTGCTCACATGCATGCGTGCACATGTGAGAGACTCAGCATTCTTGTATGTGGCAAGAGAATGAATCTTCCTAAATCGGCCAGAAATGAGATTCTTATCAAATGTACTGTCAAAAAGATGACAAAAACTTTTCAAAAGATTTTATAATTTGTTTCTTCAGTAATGTAAGAAAGAAAACATTCACCGGAGGGGATAGTAGTTGCATCCTACAATGATAACAAATCAATTTCATTAATGATATCTTCAGATGCATAAGTATATACCTCTTCAGGGGCACCACTTTTACTGTTGAAAATGCACATAGAAGTAATTTTTTACAGGTGACGCTCCTACCAAATTATAACTAACCTGTCCTGCTTGTTGCAACATAATCTTAGAAACAAGAACCAGTATGAGAATACAGCATATAGTAAGATAGACAAAACTTCCTTTGGCATGCTGCATCATCGACTTACATTGAATACTGGATGGCTTCAATGGCAGTTGTTGAGGGCAGAAAATCGTTGACAGCTACCTCCTTGTTTTCATTCTTCTTGTCTGTTCCACTTCTTAAGGACACAAGTTTACGATAAACAATCATCTAACTCCCATGAAAAACAGAAATTGCTCACTCTTAAAAGGATACAGTCTTCAAAAAAGCGGCGGATTTCAGAAAGGCGATGGGGGGGAAGCTCTTTGATGTCCGTGTAGTGTTTGTACTCCGGATCATCAGCACATACTGCAATGATCTTGTCATCTTTCTCTCCCTGCATTCAAAGCTCAAGCGTCTTATTTTACACTCTTGGTAAAGCCTGGCCACTTCATTCAGTCTAGCCAACAACCTTAACTAGGGTACCTGGTCAATCATGGGCATCAGTCCAATGGCCCTAGCACGTAGGAAGCAGCCAGGAAGGACTGGTTCCTATGAAAATAGCATGCACTTAGTCACAAATTCAGTCGGAAAAAAAATTTGTTGTTAGCACTTGGCAATGCATGACAAGCAATAAATTATATCAAGAACGGATGTAAATACTGCAATTGTATTTATAGGTGCAAACGGTTCAGACTAGTCGAATACTGACACAACATAGGTGCAACTTATTAAAGGGACAATAGAATAGTTTGTCAAGAGTCAATTTGTTCCAGGTAGTTCTAGAGAATAGAAGATATACAATTACATGCTGCTGAATCGTCATCAAACAGTAACATACCACTAAATTGTAACCTAGACTGCGCTCGCGCCTTAAGGCCAAGCCAAACAGATTGTCCAAAGGCAACTCAGAGCAACTATGGCGTAGCATTTCTAGTGTACCCAAAGGTGCTGTGCTGGCTAGCGCAGTAGATAAGTTCCTTATGTTTTGCAACAAAGGACTTGGGGCGAAACACCCTCAAGAAGGAAAGGTTGGGGGTTTACCCTACCCCTAGTACTTATCATAGGGTATATCAAGCTATTCTTGAAATTCAGTAACTTAAAAGCCCTCGACTGCTGCAGCGTATCGAGCAATTTCCCGAACAATACTTCACAATAACGTGGAAAAGTTGAGATGTAGTCATTTATCAACACTAATCTATTTATTGAGGATTGAGCTGAATCAAAATGATCGGTCTGTTGTCTATGTTTATAACCCTGAAAAGAGAGAGATTACCTGCATCAGGATTAACACATCTAGTGGATCATTGTCTTCACATAAAGTGCGAGGGATGAAGCCATAATTGTGAGGATAAACAACTGACGAATATAATATCCGGTCAACCTGAGGAAAAAAGAAAAGGTGGGTTACTAGACAAGAATGGCGGCTGCAGTTTCTAATGACAGCTAGCTCAGTTTTGACGAACCCAGGAGCTCGCATTGCAGATAACTATTCGATTGAAGGAGCTGGAAAAGAGGAGGATGTAAGAGAAAGGGGTTACACCTTAATGAGGCCGGTCTTCTTGTCAAGTTCGTATTTGACCTTGCTTCCTTTAGTTATCTCAACAACCTGTCATGACCAAAGCAACACGAGGAGCAAGTAAGAATCGGGTTCTGCTTTAACAAGAGAAAGGAAGAGGGGGAACGAACGAAGACATACACAGTTGAAAATATGGGGAGCACCGGGTCCTGCAGACGAGGGAGAATGAGAGAGGAGAGGAATATCATTAAACAGAAGGAGTGATCAAAAGAAAGAGAATGGGGCAAATACCAATCTCGAGATCATGCCAAGGATGGGCAGCAACAGATCTCCGGGACAGTGAGGAAAGGATCCTCTCGTTCAGGCGAGGAACGGGTCGCTGATTCTGAGGTTGGGATTGGCTTCCTTCACCTCCTTCATTTGCATTTGCCTCACCACTCATTTCTGCTCAGTGGGGGGGAAGGATCGGGACTCGGATCCAGAGAGAGAGCAAAGTGACCTGTGCAGGTAAACACAGAGATAACCACACCGGAGGACCGCGGAACGAAGATGGCATAAGTTGACTAGCAAAGGTAATATGATGTACCTGCGGTGGGTTCGAGAGACGGAACGGATCGATGTCTGGAGGCGAGGCAGGACAGGAAGATGAGATGGAGATACAACCGATGTGCAGGCAGACTGCAGTCTCCTCCTCTTCCTCCTCCTTTATTAATTTAAGGGACAAGTGCATCACGTGTACTAAAACTCGTCAGAAAAGGGCATTTGAGTTTTAAAATTTACAAAAAATTCATTTGAGTCCTGCAACTTATCAAAATGATTCATCTGAGTTCTAAAGTGAGTTTTAAAATTTGCAAAAAATTCATTTGAGTCCTAAAACTTATCAAAATAGTTCATTTGAGTCCTAAAATTAATACAGTTAGATTTACTAACGGAAAACGCTGACGTGGCGCTGACTTGTCATTTTAATTATTTTTCTTGAGACACGTGGCGCCACGTCAGTAAAAATAAAAATAGAAAAAGCTGTAATAAAACAAAAAAAAGGAAAAAAAAAATAGAACCGACGGTGGCCGCCGCCACAACCACCGGGAAGGACCGGCGGAGGTCGCCTGGGCCTTCCCGAAGCCCAGCGACCCTCGCCGGCCCCGAGCGAGTCCCCAGTGAAGGCCGGCGACCCTCGCTCAGATCTGGGGCAAGGGTCGCACCCTCCCCCAGATCGAGGGTCGCCGGGCCTCGCCAGGGACTCGCACGGGGCCAACGGAGGTCGCCTGGGCCTTCCCAAAGCCCGGCAACCCTCGACGGCCCCGGGCGAGTCCCCTGTGAGGGCCGGAGACCCTCGCTCAGATCTGGGGCGAGGGTCGCGCCCTCCCCCAGATTGAGGGTCGCCGGCCCTCACCGGGGACTCGCACGAGGCCGGCGGAGGTCGCCTGGGCCTTCCCGAAGCTCGGCGAGGGTCGCCGGCCCCGGGCGAGTCCCCGGCGAGGGCCGACGACTCTCGATTTGGGGGAGGGCGCAAGGCCCAGGCAACCTCCGCCGGCCCCGTGCGAGTCCCCGGCAAGGGCCGGCGACCCTCGATCTGGGGGAGGGCGCGACCCTCGCCTCGGACTGGGAGGGCGCGACCTCGCCTCGGGGTCCGAGCGAGGGTCGCCGGCTTCGGGAAGGCCCAGGCGACCTCCGCCGGTCCTTCCCGGTGGCTGTGGCGGCGGCCACCGGGCTTGGCCACCGCCGGTTTATTTTTTTTTTTTCCGGCTTTTTGGTTTTTTTTTTGTTTTTTTACAGCTTTTTCTATTTCTATTTTTATTTTTGCTGACGTGGCGCCACGTGTCTCAAGAAAAATAATTAAAATGACACGTTAGCGTTTTCCGTTAGTAAATCTAACAGTGTTAATTTTAGAACTCAAATGAACCATTTTGACAAGTTTTAAGACTCAAATGAACTTTTTGCAAGTTTTAGGACTCAAATGCACTTTTGTGATAAGTTTTAGAACTTGTAGTGCACTTATCCCTTAATTTAAATTATGCTCGCCCAAGTTCAGTCCAAAGTCAAACTTTTGAAAGTTGCGGCCACGGTGCAGAGGGAGGGTGGTTGGGGGCGGCGAGCCGAACGAATCCTCACATCCACGTTCTTTTGCACCGGCAATTCCTCCCCTAAAAGCGGGTGCACTGGGCCGGATCGTGGGTTATATCATGTGGCCTCCTCCGCCCATGGGTCGCCCGAAATCAACGTTTTGATTGACCGGCCCGATTTCAAACGAGGATTTTATGGTCTATCTTGACCATTGTGACTGGAAGAACAAGCTTCCTTCTCCACGTGAGTCTAAGGTAAACCAGGATATCCCTCGCTACCATTACTCCAACAATCTTATCGTGTTAACGAACAATTAGAGTTAGGATAGAAGTTCCATAGAACAGCATCAAACATAGTCCATATACCCCTTGGTCGTATAATTAATTTGACCATTTAAACATTAATTTTTTACTCCCTTTGGTCCTCAACATGATGGCCACCCTATCTGCATCTTCGCCCACTTCATAGAGACTTTCAAGCAAAACTTCATCTAGCCGCTGAACATCCTGTTTGGGCGAACTACTTTCGTGACTGATAAGATGAATATGTGCCACAAGCAAGTTGCTATGTTCCATAAAGAACAATTGACAAATTTCTTCTAAGTTTGAAAGCAAGATGTTCTCCAACAAAGGACTTGTGTCGGTTCAAAAACTGATTTTTTAAAAGACGCCTCGCAAGAAGAAACAATTCTAACATGTGACTAGGAAGAACATCATTGCAGGAAAGAGTTCACAAACTCATACAGAGTCCTTATGAAGTTCTATGCAGAAAATGTTTCGAATGCAGTTGCGTGGGTTCAAGTTCAATATGGGAACTACGTGGAAATAGACATCAGTACACACACGTAACACGACAAGTTTCGTGAACTACAAATTAACAGATAAACGAAAATAGATACCACCGAAAATAAGGATGCAACAACAAAGCTTTCCTTCATTGAATGCATGCATTATGGAAAGTCACATTGAAGGCCTGCCCTTCCAAGCGTATCCTCTTAGGCCCTTGCTCTTCACTTTGGCTGCTGACATTTGCCACCCGGGTTTCCTTGGCCTCTACCGAGCACCTCTTGTAAGGTTTAAATCCAGTTCGACGTGTCCTAAGCTTTCCTTGACCTAGCCCAATTGTCAGAAGCCCCTCCTTGCCATCGTCAACAACTCCAGACCTCTCAGAACCTTGATGAAAAGAACACGAGATACGCATGTTACTGTTGAGGTCTAATGTTGATACATCTTTATATACCTCTTCATCAATTTGCTCATCTTCTTCGACATTGTCCTTCTCCTGTCCTTTGTTCTTTATATCACGAGGAGGTGAAAAGCTTTGTGGCAGAACATTTCTGGAGAAAAGTGCCTGAAAAGCCAGCCGACCCTGACAATTTTCACGTAATTAGAGAGGATGAGAAGGGAAATATCATAATTGTAGTAACTTCATTCAAAAACCAACTTTGCTCACCTCTTCAGACACCTCCTTCCAAGAGTCAGTCACATTGCTGGTGCTTCTACAGCGACGATTGAAGTATTCCAGAATGGATTGGTTTGGATCAGGATCTTTCAGCGTTTCCTTGCTTTTCTCTTGCTTTTCTAATGCATCAGTCTCCACTTCACTGCTAGAAGGTGTATTTGAGCCACACGAGGAACGATCAACTGGTTTTCCTCCCTTTGATTTGTTTTCTTGGGAATCAGTCTCCACTGCAGCCTTCTCATGATCAGCAGCTTTTGATCTAGCATCTAAACCTGCCCCTCCACTATCCTCAGAGTCCGACGATGATCCTGAAGGTGATTTGGAAGCAGAGTTTTGAGCTTGCAGAGCTTCAGAATGTTCTTGGTCCAAATGCTCTTGTGAGCTTGGGTTCTCAAAGGTACACTCTCTTCTCTCTTTTTCCACTACTGGAGTTTGACTAGTATCCAGGGAGTGAACCGCAGTAGCAGATGTAGGATTGCACGTAAATCCAGTATGAAGAGGAGCACAGAGAGGGAGCAACCCATGGGCTGCCCACCATGCAGTTGCAGCAGCCACTGTAGCAGCAGCTAGAGCAGCCATGCTTGGAGTGGAGCTCGACGGTCGACATGGAAAAGTTCCTTGAGTACATACAGGAGAATCTACTGCAGAACGTTCCACATTAGGGTAGGGCCAAAGTGAGGCAGCAAAACTAGCTGCTGCATGTGCAGCAGGGTTCTGTAGCAGTGTAGACACAATGAGACTCGAAAATGTGGATGAGAGGTGGAGGAATGATCTATAGTCATCTTCATTATGGTGAACTGGGGTAAAGGGAGGATGAAAAGCCGGAAATGATTGATGATCCATTCTTGGGGCATCCTTCTGATGTTCACTAGCTGCAGATTGAGTTTGACTTGGGAATAGGTTAAGGCGTGCTTTCACTTCTCCAGTTGGGTTGAATGCGGAGTCCTGGAATGACACATCCTGCAAGGGGGCCTGAGTACAATTTGTTTGGTTTGCATCTAAAACATGCACTGGAACATGCCTTGGGAAATTATGAGCAGTTTGCATCTCATCCGCTGGCAGGCCATCATATCCATCCATTCTGCATTGAACTGATTTCTCATGCGAACGATCAGAGTTCTCCAAATTAGAAACTTTTCTTGGCCCATTATCCTGAACTCCCTGTTTGGAGTTAGATTTATACAGTGCATAACTCTAAATTGGTCAGTACAGAAATCAGATTTCTTACCTCTTTCAATAAAGGAACAAACTTCTTGAAGGTGCATGAATTCTGGATGGCAACTGATGTTGGAACAACACTTCTGTTGGCTGAAGATATAGAAGAACAGTGAGCTTCCTGAGGCAGATTAAAAACTTCTGAGCAATTGTCATCCTGATTCTCTTTGGAATTTGCCAGCTTCTCTCCACCACTAGCTCTCTAAAATGAATGCACACACAATGTCACTGAAATTGCTAGGGAGAAAATGACAGGAAATGTCAAAAGCCAAACACGATAAAACTTAAGAGTACAGAAAGAAGGAAACCTCAAGAAATGGTGCTGTCTCTGAGTCCAATTTCTCACAATGTGATGGTGACACAGATAAAGTTCCACCATCCTTTGCTCCCACCAGCAGTGTAGGAGTACTAGCACCCGTCTTTCGAGGATAAGGATTACTTGGTTTCCTTTTGGGGCGTGGAGGTGGTATTTTTATATCTAATGTCTGCCCCACAGGAACTCCTTTAACAAGTGCCTCCTTCTCCAACTATAAGTAAAATAATCTTTAGTATTCTAGAATATACAATGATTTACATTACCCAGAGCAGATCACTTACAGCGGCAAGAAAAGACAATTAACCAATGCGTCAACCAGCAAAGTATCATTAAATCTTTAGTCATTCACAAGGTAGACAATCAAAACAGCATACTTTTACTCTAGCATATGGATGTAAGAGCCAGCATGACAGCCTAGACATTTCGAAAAAATTATTGAAAAACACAAACTTTTTGGAGCAAAAATGATCCATAAGCAAATAATTTAGATGCTTCAAGAAACTCCTACCTATGCATGAAAGACTGTAGGAGTATGTATGATGAATTTCATGTCTCTTATCATAATGTAAAATGTGGTGAATGGAATCAATAGTATCAGGAATAATGACACCACAAGTAGTTATACAGTCAAGTATCTAAACTGTGTTTCTATTCTATCTAGTACCTCAACTTTTTAAAATATGGCTCAATGTGAGCCCTCCGTGAAACAAATCATAATGTCACATGATTTTGCCTATGCGGCTCTTTTACTTAGCAAAAACTAAGCCCGGTTGCTAATGTGGCTTGCTTACTAAGCAAAAACTATGCCATCTTTATTGCCCAAAAGTTAAGCCCAATTGCTGAGGTAGCTCGCTTACTAAGCAAAAACTATGCCATCTTCATTTAGGTATTGGGTGATGAGGAGAAAAATAAAGTGTTGAGTTATACGATCTTGGCTTTCCAATGTGTCTCCGTTGACGTGGCATCATTTACACTGGATGCCAATGTGGACATTTACTAGCTATTTACTGGCATTAGTATCCAATTTGGCATTCTCTATCGGCGATTTTAAAAGAGATCTCACATTAACCCACATTTTAAATATTGAAGTACTTGATTGAACAACACGAGGCTTGGTTACTTGATTATAAAGCAAACAAAAGTTGGTGTCATTACTCCATATTATAACTGTGTTAATGGAGAACATTGGAAAGGCATAAAGCAAACCTAAAAAAGAGAACAAAGACTAACGAAAAGTAGATGTGGATACAGACTCTTTAGATATAAAAAGACTGCCTATCAGGAAAGATTTATAGGTATGGGATCTTTATATAGCGGGGAAAACTCAAACATTTGCCATTACTTTTGCTCAAATAATTGTATCATAGAGTAATACATCAAGAATATTTCTTATGTGCAACACCTTACATAATCATCCATGAAGTTACTTAAATATATAGAGGCAAACCTGCAAACTATTGGATATGATTTCCTCAAGCAATTCTTTTAGAAAACTAAAGGGGTGACAACTGAAAAAATTCAAAAACTTAATGTATACAAATAGTTTTTTAAAAACTCAGTAAAAACTAGGATGTAAAGCAGTCTCGATTAAGAATTAAGTTTTTAGTCTGTTGCTATGTTATCAATAATTTATCTTACAGATTCTTTCAAGTGAGATTCACTGTCACCTTTGGATTCACCTTTAAGGAAAGAAAGTTTTCATTTCAATCTAGCCATTCTCAATTCAAAACAATCAATATCTCCATATATATAAGCTTATAAAAATGGGGATTACTCACACGTGGTTGCACCAAATGGCATGCCATGGGCGAACTTTTCTATCCAATTTCTTTCCATTTGTATGCTAAACTAATCTCTTAATTATTTGAGTTTTGGTTATTTCATGAATTTGAATAAGATTTTCAAAGATATTTCTTTCATTTGTTACTTTAACTTACCCTATTGGACTCGAATAAATTTGTAATTAGGCAATTTGGATTCTGAATATTTTATTTATTTGAATGAGATCTATGAAAAACCTATGGCTGACTATAAAGATACTTGAGGGAATGTCTGTTGAACATTCGTGTTCGATGATATTAATAAATACACCAAAGGAATTAATGGGACTTAAAGCATATACTTCTTCGAAAGTACTAACATCGATATACTAGATGCTGTACTATTTATATATCAAAATAAGTTGCATGTGAGATGGAAAAAAAAAAAAAAAGTACATACATGGCAAGATATCTAAGACCATCTAAAAGAAGTGTTACAATTTGAAGAATACTCGTTTGTTTGTCTATATTACTCATATAATAGATGCATTTGTAGAAAAAAGACAACCTTACTACGTAATGCGTGAAAAAATTACCATGTATAAAAAATATACACTTCATAAAATGAAAAACAGTTTACAGATTGTTTTTACTGTAAACTAAACGTCAAACTCAAAAATTAATCTACTTAATATTGTCTAAGTTTGTGATGAGGTTTAATTCACAGGTACAAAATATATATATGTACTAATCGATAGAAATCACATAAAAAAGTTATTTCGATTAAGCAAAAGGAAAAGTTAGAACAGAAAAACAACATGAATCAAACTGAGGGCAAATAGCCACAATGTTGTATTTGAATTTGTTACCATTTTCAAAGTAAAGACTAAAAGATAAAATCAACTTTCGTGCATTTCACAGTCTTCTACAAGGGTAGAACAAACATTGAATATACTGTAGTTTTCAATGAGGGACACTTCCAAATTTCAACTTCAGTCTCTCGACAACACAAACTGGAACCAACTCACCTAGGTTTGGTTAACTGAGGAAGAAACTGTTTCTATTAATAGATCGAGTATGTTTTAAAATCCCAATAGCCTATTATTATTCCCCAAATATGGTAGTGGCTGCCGTAGAGAAAGGTGGCACAGGCAGAAAGACAATCCTTCCATTTCATGAAGAACAGAAGAAAGAAAATACAAGAATATGAGGAAAAAAAAGTACTAATGATACATATTCCTTCAACTGAAAACCCCCAGGATGAATTATGACTTGCGGCAATTCAGTTCAGGTGAGCATCACCTTTCTCATTGTCCGATTTTAAACTGATATGTATGCATTTCTGGCACTTAAGTCAAACCCCTTGGGATGAGTTATCACTTACAACTAGCTCCAGATTTTAATTTTCATGAAAAGTAATTGAAAAGACAAGATTATCCCCCATTGAGAGTTCGTGATTCGGATCTTTGGCAACACTTACCCTGCTTTGACTTTAACAAGGCATCTCACGATAGCCTCCAGTTTTTCATATGTGAAAAGATTTAAGAATATCAGCTTGCCTGCAGCTGAAATTTGCAGAGTGCCTTCTGTAACTCTCTTAAAACATAAGAAATTAGATGAAGTCCTCTCAAGCAAGTTTTTATTATGTTATTTTCTTATACTCGAGTTTATTTCATTGACATTTTCAGTCTTTCTCAAGGAAAAATATTATTCCCTTAATCCTCTCTGATGGCATCATACCAGTCTAAATGTTAAGTTGACAAACAAACTCTATGACCGATGCTGTCAGATGTTCTAAACTTTCCAGCGACAATAAATAAAATACCAAGAAGAGAGCATACTCTCTCTCTCCACCCTCCCTCCCTTCCTCCTTCTTCCTCCCTCTTGCTTTCCAAATATCTTAGTTTCTGTCATATTGTATTTACCATTTCCACCAAAACTTCAAACGTCACCACTCTAGGGGAAGAAAGTGATTTCAGTTTCAGTTTTATCATGAATCTCTATTGCCCTCAAGATCTCCTCACATTTTTCTTGTGCCTCCCTACTATCACCTTCCCAGGGAACTTCCAAACTTTTATACTTAGATGACCATCCTTTCCCCAAAACTCAACTACTAGAATAGAAACTCTTAAATATAGGGAGCATATTTTGTGAGTACCCTCACTCACAACCAACTCGAGCTTAGACTTGAATAAATGTCAATGCAATCACCTTGTGTATACAAACATGAGGAAGGAACATACTCTGCCAGTAGTAATAGGTAGAATAACAAGAAAAGAAACTTTAGGATTTGAATCTTAGTAGTGAGCACCCATGTTAGCCATAATTTCTTCCCAAAACTTGAGCTATCCAGAAACAAGTCCGAAACAAATATTGAGCATACTCTTGAACACTCAATGGAATCACATAAGGTCTAACATCTATTTCACCATAAATTTATTATTACACGTAGGTATAAATATTTATATGAATATTATCGAAACCACAATTTCCTATTTTTCATCCAAATTTAAATTAATATAAGCTTCATCTATCCGTTGGTGAAGTCATTACATCCTTCCCTCTCATTTTTCAAGCTAGGTACCAATCTCCCGAATTTTGAGGTTTAATTATTTAAAATCCTTATAGCTTCCTCCGGGACAGCTTTCAATATTTTTTCTTATTAAATCATAATTACTTACAACTATACTCTCATGTTTTTCTTTATAGGGCATTTCAATAAGTTTTGGATCCTATGCCATATAGGGCAGGTTTCATTGCTCCATCCTTATTCTAGCATGCAATCCCAATTACACTAAATTCTAATGAACTTCAAAAACCATCTCTCAACGTTTTTGTTGAGCAACTGTTTGTTTTTCAACCTAAGCTATCAGAAAATATGCCCAGGATGCACATCAAACATATATCGTGACATTCCTTGCCTGTAAGTTGGACCGTACACGTGAAGCACGAAATGTGGATTTAATCACATCAAACAACAATACGAGGACATAAAGAAGTATTCGATAGAATGACAATAGGGCGAGTGCCCAAATTTGAACACTTGACGTGAAGCTCTTATACCAGTTGAACATCTTCCCAAAAGCTTAAGCAGTTGCAAACGCGCCCACAATGTACATCGAACATACATCTGGACAATTTGCAATTAGGACCGCTAACTATTATAAACTGATCCAGGCCTTGTCAGACTTCATTAATAGTCTTGTACTGGGATCAATCAACGTTCCACATAAGGAAGAGTTTGCTAAACTTTCCATTTCGAACTAAAAAGGTAATAGCATGATATTCCCTTGTGTTCTACAGTATGCATTTTCCACCTAAATAATACAAAAAATTACAAACATGAAGCAAAATGTAACACAACCTCCGGATTCTTGTTTTTACATCTTTAGCTTATGACTATGCTGCAGGAACCGATATCGATTCCCACGTGTCAGTAGACAGTTATATCTCTTTGAAAAGCTTATTCCCCTATCTATTACCAAAATTATCCTCTGAATGCATCCCAAAAATTGTCCTCGACCCTCTAAGTAAATCACCTTGGAGGCATACGCCCTAAAACCTCAATATAACCCGAGTTCTTCAGCCCATATCAACTTACTTATCCTCATCTCAAGTTCTTTAGCCCATGCGTCACTGTCTCTTCAATTCAGATTTTATCAATTATATTCCTGAAATTCCTATTCACCAACACCTATGTTCTAACTTTGATCCTCATATCCAACCTCTTTGAGATTTCTCTGTTTGTCCCCCTTCATTTACTAAAGACTGGCTGCAGCACCTGGGTGACTACCCGTCAACAAGTAAGGCCATGAAACCTAATCATGAGATCAGTGGCCATTCTCGAAAATCTGATCACGCAACAACATACTCTATCCGTGCTAAATATGCATGAGAACCGAGCGCAAACCGATACACGGATTGACTTGCGTAATCTACCAAAAAGGAAGCTGGGATTGACATGCATCTACGATGTTTGGTACGCAACACAATCTACAGCATCCCAACAACATGAAACATACATTGCTGGAAGTTGTCATATCATGATTTTCATATCAGTAACAAACCTGATGCTAATAACAAGAACTAATCTGAGCAAATATATAAAGTGTGCAGTAGCAAAAAGGTGAGAGGGTACCAATTAACCTTTGAAAAGAATTTCTGCGCATGACTCCGGATCTGCACCGCAGTCTTTGTTCCAATATGTTCTGCAAAACCAAGCGAAAACACCAAAGAAGAGAACAAGTAGATGTCCAATCAAGAGAACTCCAAAGAAATTTGTACACCGAGTAACTCCTCAGAGGAGACAATTCAGGATACAACTCGATAGATCGAGATCGATGAGAATGAATGGATAATGCACCAACTTATCATCAATCCAACCCCGTACGGTATTTTAGTACATAAACTGCGGAGAAATGAAGGGAAAGGAGAAAGGGGAAAGGGGAAAGGGAGAATGATGACCTTCGATGCGCTGCCAAGCTCGTCCATAGAGCTTCAAGGCTTCTAGAAATCTGTTATGTTCCTCCTCTGTCCATCGTTCTCTCTGCTTGGTGATGGTATAAGGCTTCCTCGTCTGCGAGCAAAACAGCAATCCTAGTAAAGGCTTTGGGAACAAAGGTCGGGACAATCGGAGAGAAGGAGAGCAGGAATTGCGAGACCTTAACAATGAAGTCTTCGCCGGAGGAGTAGGTGTCCATTAGCGGGGACCTCAGCAGCTAGCGCTGCTTCAAATCCTCACTGACCAGCAAATGGTCAAACAGGAACCTCCTCTCGTGTGTTCGGACATGGCGACTGAGATCGAATGATAGGAGGCGAAACAAAGCCAATCCGACGACGACGACGACGATGACGATGACGATGACGACGACGACGGTGGTGCAGCGAAGCTAGTACTGCAAAAGAGAGAAAACAACAGCAACCGCTAGAGATCCGTCTACGCTTTCTATACCACAAGTGGACATTCTAGTAAAGTACGAGGAAAAAGAAAAAGAAGGCAATCCATTTCCAATGTTCGGCACGGGACGAATAGGAAGTGATGGGTGTAGTAGGTTAAGGAAAGGGAAGAAATGCTCCGCAAATCGACAATCCTCTCTCACCTAAAAAAAAAAAGGAGGGGGCAGATGGGAGGACCAGGAGGAAGGACGTGAACCAACCGGAGATCAGACCATTTGATGAGAGGCCAGCAGCAAACACCCGCTCCACCGAAAGTAAGACAAAGGAGAAGGGTAGGGAGCATACGCACGGCCGATGATGCCGAGCTCTCTGCTTCAGTTTAGCCGACAAGCACGAGTTCAGACGCAGAAAGCATCGGACATCCAAAGGAAGGAGGAAGGAAAAAGGGGGGGGAGAAGCAAAAACCTGGATGGAAGAGTTGACACGACTCGATCAAGTCACGATGATGGACTTTGGGGGGGATGGGGGGTTACTTACTGACTACTCTCAGAGGAGAAGGAGAAGGAGGAGGAGAAGGAGGTTGGGGCGGGAGGGAGAGAGAGACCTAAAAACACACCACACGCGCTACACCAGAACCAGAAGCGCCTCCTCCAGTTCCAGTTCCAGTTCGATGTTTTGTATTTGGGATGTGGGGTTGGGGTGGGAGGTGAGAAAGCAGCAATTCTCAGCCACTACTATTTCTTGTGGCTTTCTCTTTTTTTCCCTTTTTCCATCCCCTTTTCATCTCCCCACCCCCACATTTCTTTAGTGTTTTTTTGAGGCTGCCAAGGAGCGAGTGGGTCACACAAAACAAACCGGAGGGGGAGGGGGGAAGGGCGTCGTGGGATGGCGCCACGTGGCGTCGATTTAGCGGCTGATTCCCCCGGAAAAGCTCCCCCTCCCCCCCCCCCCTGCGCTTTTTCCTATCTCGAAGCTAATAAAAATTATATCTCGATTTTACAAAAAAGAAAAAAAAAGAAAAAAAGGAAAAAGGAAAAAGTAAGGGAGAATTGAATTGGATTGGATTGAGCTTTCGTTCTTGGGGGGTGGGGCCCGCCCCCCCCCCCCCCCCTCCCCATCTCGGAATCTCGACCACAAGCTGCGACCGAGGTTAAGTCCGTAAAAGCGCATCCAGCTGGTGCACGTGGGGCCCGCCCTCCCACGTGGCCACTCATATATCCACTCCCCAGTCCTCCCGACCGACCGGGGGGGAGAGAGAGAGGGGTCCACCCCGTACGGAAAAAGCGGGGTTATCCTCAAATTAGAGGTGACCGCGTCGGCCTACGTGGGACGCGTAACAGGGGGCTGCGTGGCCTTGTCCTTAACCAAGCTAGCGACATCCCCCTCCCCCAATTGACATGGTCTTTCACCCTTTGTTTGACCTAAACTAGTAAATAGATTTACCAATTCACGACAGACGGACTTCCTAACCCTCCTTGTATCGTTCAGCCATTGGATTGAGAGACTATCCATCCGATGGATTGCTCTCCCGTGGCAAATTCACCGACTTCTTTTACAAAATTTTTCATTTCCGAATTTCGAGTACCATCTATCTAGATTTTATTGAGCATCCATAAATTTTCGAATTGATTAGTCAAAGCTTACTGATATTCTTGGTATTAGAGGGCACTACCCGCATTTCAAACTCAACGAGTTACATGTCGTCTTGCGGTTGTAAGAACTAGGCCCCCATACACGCGCGATTGCCTTTGCATCGTTGAATCAATTTTCCCATATTAATATCCGTAGTACATGCCTTGAAATAAAGTTCCATCACATTGTTATTCACGAAACTTCATATTCAAAGATGAAACGCACACAAACTAGATATTGACGAATAAATAATAAACATGACATGTAAAACACGCAGAGTTCTTTTGAACCCTCAAAAATGAGGATTTTGGCGTAAAAAAAATGTCCGACCAAAAACAAATTGTCGTAACAAATGAGGATTTTGGCTTTAACGTATGGACTAGCTTCCGTGCTCGCACTGCCAGCGCATTTATTTTATGAATATCTGTGTAAAATTGCTTTTCTTGAAAAGGCATATATATGCCTAAAATTAATAGTATGCACGAGAGAACTCCACGTTTCATGTATGAATTATATGCTTGGGAATGTGAAAGAAGTGGGCGAGCGGTTCGTTTTCATTCGTTATTGTATGAGGACATTAAAGGAGAGACCTGCAATTTAGGAATTTGGAAGTGGTAAGAGTAATTCTGCACAAATTAAATTGTGATAAATTTACCTGTTGAATGCAACCGATTCTTCAACAAAGACAAGCTAGTCCACTACAGGTGGTTACAGTAATCAGCTTGGGGTAGATAGGTCATGAGATTTCAGCTCAGAATTTTTAACGATATCAACCCTTGTTTCCACCTCGAGCACCCTAGATTCCTACCTTAGATGCGGAATTCTACTAGACAGAAGTAAAGAACAATTGCAGAGAAAAATTATGTAATGATTCCTTTATAAATTTTGAACAACAGAGAACAAGCATCATGCTCTGTTACACAAGTTCAACGCCTACATATGACTCTGCATATGTCATCTTAGTATGTACAACCAAGCAATTCTATTTCTATTGGGTTGGGGCAAGGCCATCAGTGAGACACTAAAAAAATTTAAATAATTCACCTATAGTTGACTGAACAATGGAAGCCCTCGGTATCAGGCAATCAGCGGTTGCTGGTTCTCTCCTTTCCTGCAGAAGCATTTCTAATTTGTTAGGACTGCCCTACCATTATAGCTAGCTCTTCAAGCTGTCAAGCGACGAGAAAACTTTAGTGCCCCAACTCACCAAATATATTTGTTTTCAGTGGAAAACGAATTGATGATCCCTTTGCTTTGAGTTCCCTAAGCTGTCTCTTTCTACTCGCTTTCTCTGCCTTAATAAGATCACCGCTACTTTCTCCTGTTAAAAAGTCAGTCGCCTTCTTCACCTTTTCATGGTAAACAGCAGGAGGTGCGAGCCTCAACTGAGGTAGGCTTTCGATTTGAATTGATTCCTGGCCCTTCTGGAGACTATTCAATATGTCGAACTGAAGCATAAATTTGAACGTGGCTCATCAGAAATATTTGACTGCAGAAGACAGATGACAAAATCAGAAAACCTCAATATGATATTCTCATACCCTTGATATTTGCTGAAGGCTGTAAGTGTTGTCTAGTGCATCGTTGATTCTCTCGTGTGAAGCAAGGATGTTAGCCCCTTGCAACTGTTGATGTCTTGATGAAAGCTTACTTACTAGACCATTCTCTCCAAGGACTGATTTACTTCCCGATTTCTGACTCTTCTTCTTAGGCAAACAGACTGGACACCCAGATGAAGATCCTTTGCTTGAGGTTTCGCTTTCTGTAATTTCACATTGGATATGAGTGGCATGACCACAATTATACACACAAACTGTGGAGCTAGACGAATTCTTGTTGAGAAGACAATTGCATATACAGCACACTAGACTCCGAGGGGAATACCCATGGGATGCTCCTTTCTTCAGCACGCTCATAGTATAAAACGTGTCATCCTCTATCAAGGACTTAGCAGTATCCTGCAGTGGAAGGACAAAAACAACAAAAAGTAAGACATTACATCAGGCATGAAAAACCACAACCAAGTAATGCCAGCCCAATTGATAGAGAGAGCCAAAAAAGCCATGAGGGGGACTCTGCAGACAAGGAGACAAGGAATGCTGTTCCTGATTTATGGATATATACCAGTTTAAAACTATGTAGAAACCTATTGAGCTTCATCGCTCAACTATTTCAACCACGAATCAAAATATTAAGCTGAATAGAAGTTCTGCCTCCCCTTTAAGGTATAATTAACAGGGGCTGCACATTAATGCTGGAATAAAAAGAACAGATGACTAACTGCAAGAATTAATAACACTCAGATTGCATCAATTACAAAAACTATAGATGAATGCAAATTTAGTAAAAATTGTACCAGAATTCTTCTTTCAAAGCCATAGGTCCCGAGCATCCCTAAAATGGTAAGTTTGAAATCACCGAATTCCTGGCTACCATTTTCAGAGAGGAGTTTAGACATGATAGTCGGAAGCCGAACATATCCTATCATTCCCTCGACGATTTCTTTGATGAATTGAGATAACAATTTTCTCAAAGTAGGAGAACCTCTATGAGAATTCAGAGTCCATTTAATTATGGGTAATGCGTCATCATCCTGGGATTTGCTATATATTCCATCACTATTCACCTCCATGGATGCAATTTTGCCAGTAGGTAAGCCCAGTAATGGTTCGCAAAACCTGGACATCAAGATGTAGTAACTGAGAGAGAGAGAGAGAGAGAGAGAGAGAGAGAGAGAGAGTATGCTTGATAAATCATAAAAATGGAAGAAATCGCATTTGGATGACATAACACAAGCACCAATGTCTATAGACAACATAACTTCAACAAAAGAAGTTACTGTCGCATTCCTTATATTCTGCTTATTTCAAGCAGTGCATGACGGTCACGGGCAAGGAACTAAATTTCTGTCGCATAACAGTCGGGTGTCGTTGAGGCAGAAGCAGGTTGTCGCAGGTGTTACTTAACAGGTTGCAGGTGTGAAACTTCTAAAATTTTGCACATATTGCATAAACGGCAAGCTGCAGTTCTCGAGGAATGCCCATTACAAGGGGGAGAGACCCCAAGACCAGAAAAATAACAAATTAAAAAATTGAAACCACTTAAATTAGTTATAACTTTACACAAATAGACAAGTTGCTTTCCTTACGTTTTAGACGCAACATTCTCACATCATACTGAACTTTCCCACACTCCATGCATCAAATTTTGGGCATTGCATGCAAATGAAAACACGATTGGCTCTTGATGGAGACCATATTTTAAAATGCTAATAGTATGACCTCATATCAACACAATTAAGATGGCAATTATCAAGAAGAAATTAAACAAAGAGGGCAGCAGTTATTGTCACACTGAATGATGTAAATATATGGATCAAATTCAACTTACGAATCAAGCAATTTAAACCACAGGGTCTCCGACTCTTCAGGATTCAACCGAGGCGTATTGCGCTGGCATAATCCAATACAAAGATCCAATGTTCTCCGTATATCATTCACCTGCACTAATTCTTTTAATGGGCCAAAATGTAAAAATTAACCAGAAATTTCAGCACAAAAAGGTAAAATGCACAAACCTCCTCCATTCTTAATACAGCGCTGAAATGATCCAAGCTATAGGAATCGCCTCGTGTCACCTCAGAAGTGGCGTCTATGATAGCAGCATCGAGTTTCTCAAATTTTTCGCTGAGGCTCGACAGTGTAAGCAAGAGAGCACTCCCAACATCACCAACCCTTTCCAACAAAAATGCAGCCGCATCTGTGATTCCATACTCCTGACAAAGTTGCAAACAGTGCTCCACCCGGTAGCTATCAAATGTCTCCAAGAATTTAAGAACTGAATGGCGGTCATATTGACATAGTAACTGCATCAATGAAGAGCAAAGATTACAGACCTGATTATCACAATCAAGTTACTAAAGAGCATAGGAACTTTGCAACCAACAAGAATGTTCGTACTCCTATGCAAACAAAAAGGTGCATGATATCTCAGCGACTTAACAAGCTCAAAGCCATTTAGCACCTACACCTACTTTGACAGTTATACAAGTAATACAACATCAAAGATCACAAGGCCTGAATAAGGCTGTTCACTCTTAACTAGGATTCACTTTCATATGTCCTACCAACATTCTGTCTCATATATAGAGGATAGCAATTGCTGCATGCATAACAATAAGCATAACATAGAGCTTGAGAAGAGTGATCATGCAACACCCCAACAGGAACTCTAAATGCTATGGCTGTATTATTTGTTAACAGAGAACATATGTTTGCCTAGGTCATGTTCGAGAACCACAGCATAAAAGAATATCTACAGGAAACATTTTGTTACCAAATATAAACAACTCCTGCAGAGAAAAGACAGGTATACATATTATCACTTGGGCAACATTCACATAATCCAACTACAATTTAAATGTGTAGCAGTCACCTCAAAATAATGTTCAATCATTTCCTCAGTGACATGAACAGGATTGTTGCGCAAATACTTAGGGAAATCAGAGATTCTCTCCAAGTACATCTCAACTCCTCTTAACTGAGCATGTCCACTTGTTCCATCAGGGGTATCAGTATTACTCCTCAAGCATGAGAAATTAAGGGTGCCAGAGAAGTGAACTTCAATTATTGTCTTTAAATATAGAAAAAGGCTTTTTGGATGGGAGTTCAGTTCAGAGAGAATCCGTGAACCTTCTGTACTGAATTGATCAATAACCAACAAGAATGTTCCTTCTCTGTATTCAAATAAAAAGCAATTAGATAGAACAACATCTACAAGAGAAGAGACTAAAAGTTCATAGTAGGCGGAAGCATTTACCTACTCAAGTCAACCAGCGTTGGAATTCGAGAAAAAACTGCCGAGCGAAAAGCAGCATGCTCAGTCTCATTGAGATGTAGCAAAGCATTGTTGATGTAGGCAAAGGCATGTATGGGTTCATTCACATCTTTCATATAACTATCCAAAGCAGCAATATACTGATCTTGGATAGTATAAATATAGCCACAAACCTAATAATAAGGAGCAGATCTCTTAGTACTAATAAACACTGATAGCAAACAAAAAGAAATGTAGCTTTCAGCTCATAAATACAGATAGCATACATACCTCATAAAATTGTGCTCTTTCACATAGGCGTAAGATGTAAGACGCATCCCACTCATTCTCAGGCACTGTTTCCAGAAGGGAAAGTACCTGCTTTTCTCTTATTTTATTACGTTCCTCTCCTGGTAGAGAAGCATTTTCTGATGTTAAGTGCTCTAAAATCCGGTTCAAAATGTCTTTTGGAATTTTTGCTCTTTCACGAGTAACAAAAGATGCAATGAACTCATAAAGGTGTCCAATGTCTATTCTTGAAGGCCAGGTATCTGCAGATTTATTATTAGACCCTCCATGACCATCTACTTGAAAGATGTCCTCGTCAAGGATACAAATGAGAGCATTTACCAAATCCTGAACCATTTTGTTTTCCCTGGTAGGATCAAATCCCATCTCCACGACTAGGTTGGCTGAGTCATGTGTAGGAAAATCAGATTTTTGGATTTCATCTTCTACAAAAGCACATCTTAAAACATCTAAAGTAGCTTCAGTATCTAATTCTAAGAGATGATACAAATTACAATAGACTCCTTCAGACAACGCTCTTGAAGTTTCTGACTTTTCCAGTAAAAACTGCAAAAGTTCTGTCCTAAGAGAGGGAAGGCGGGGTGGGGAAATACTTCCGTGTCCTGAAAACAGCAGAGATAACAGTTAGCAACAATAGTTTCTACTTTACATCAAGAAGAAGAGGAGAAAAGATTGCTTGTATTGAACTATGCTTTTTGGTCCTTTTTTTTTTGTGTTTGTGTGGGTGTGGGTGTGGGTGGGTGTGTGTGTGTGTGTGTGTGGGTGGGGGCTGTCCATAGAGAGGATAATTAAGTACATAAAAAAGTCAAAGAAAGATAGGTGAAAAGAACACACAATCCTATGAAACAAACAACTAGCAATTGAGTCTTCAAAAATATATTCAGCAACTAAAGTAGTTTACTTGAAGCAAACACGGTTAAGTACATGCAAATGTGATTTCCATTTCTTTACATGCTCATAAGCCATTCAATACCACGCCACAAAGATCTAACTGAGGTAGTCCATAATGAGCTGTCAGAAATACCGACAGCCACGCCTTTGTTTATCAAGATCAGTAGACAGAGACTCAGTATAAAATCAGTAGAAAAACAAAACACAGCCTGCAGAATCATAAACAAGAGAATTTTTTTATTTTTTTTTGGTAAAGGTAAGATGTTTATAACTTTTCAACGCAAATGTACAAGTGGGATAAACAAGAGAATTTGCATACAGAGAAAAAGGAAAAACAAAGGAAAAAAGAAAAAAGCAAGGCGATGGGCCTGTTTGGTTCAGCATTTCCAAGGGACTTGGCCAAATGCAAATAGAAGTTGGCAATTTTTTTGGAACACTTTGGAGAAATGCAATTGCATTTCCCAAGGCCTCTAAAGGCCTTTAGCTCAAGGCAGGTTAGGAGGTACTTTGGCAAGTTGCATTGTCGGAACGCAAGTTTTCTGTTCATAGCACTATTCATCTTCCCCAAGCGGCAGGTCCGGAGGCCGGCAACCGCCATCTGAGGGGTTGCCCGACCTCCGGCGACTGCCACCTGGGGGTTGCCGGAGGTCGGGCAACCCCCAGGCGGCGGTCGCAGGGGTCACACGACCCAGGTGACGCCTGAGGTCGCGTGACCTCAGGCAAGGCTGGCCAGCAGCCATTTTGGCCCTCCAGTGGTTGAGCTCCACCTCAAATTTTTTTTTTTTTAATTATCAGCAAAAGTCCTTTACGAAATTAGTTTTTACCAAACGGTATTTAGGCCAAAGTTGTTTTCAAATGTGATTTTAAAACACACTTCACCAAACACTACTTGCATATTGGAAAACCCCTTTAGCCTAAAGGCCTTTGCATTTTGCCAAACACATTCCCCCAAAGTCGAACCAAACGGGCCCGATATCAACCCATGTTCAATATCCTCTCTGAAGATTAACCGCATAAGGGACCTCTAATATAAGTTTTAATATAGATATTTAGCAATACTCAAGACTCATTACTGCCGTCAGACTTCCAATTGCTTAACAGCCTATCTCTAGCAAGAGCCAAGAAAAAGGAAACTGCATTGATTAAAATTGAAATACATACCAGGGGGGAAAGCAAGACCAGAAAAGCAATACTTTAGATAAACAAGCACCCTGTACCTGTTCAAAACACCACCAGTGGATATGGTTAAAAATTTTAAAAAGCTAAACATAAAAATCAATGCATTGTAACACCATATTTTCAGCAAGGATAACACCTAAGAAGAATCTGAAACATTATCAACCATCAACCTTCCTTTTGAGGGTTAAAAAAACCTCTTAAGGAAAGAGAAATGCATATTTTCTGTTTGTGTAATGTTCGCATTGATCTGCAAACGCTTTCAGTGGAAGGCCCGTTGAGACACACTTCGAATTTCTCACAAACAACCCTCTACCATGAACTAAAATATCGTCGTACTTAAAAATCTTCAGGCTTATCTCAGATTCACAAGCATCTGATGAGCTTGGGTTGGCACTCTGGCTTGATACTATAATGGTTTGCACTTCAGCCAATAACAAAGTGGCGTATCAAATAGGACCCCAGCAATAAAAAATATATGACAAGATCTAACCAAACAAAATTTAACGTCCAAGAATTATGTGTGCATCAGAAAAAATAGACAACCATCAAGAAAAAGTACCCAAGGGCAGCAGCACTCTCCTTCGGACTCTTGCAAAAGACTACCAACAACTCCTCCAGAGGTGATCTGAAATCATCCAATCCACGGTTGAAAAGATACACCAATGCACAATATAACCCATGCTCCCGGCATAATTTAACAACCTACAAGGACAAAATCACAAAAAACGTTCTTAACGGATGAACTTAAATAATTTTTCCAGGAATCATCTCAAACAATCTGCAGACCTGATTGAAATCCAAGGAAGATATGTCCATGTGAAGGACACATTGTTCCACTCGCTGCAACCACCCTTTGCTGCTATAGTGTTCCACCAATGCTTGCATTATCTATAGTGAAATGCCCTACCTGTGAGTGCAGTTTGAACTATACATTTACGAAATGACAGTTTTGGATGATTAAACACTATAAAGATACCTCAGGAGGCAGAGAGCTGAGCATATCCTTCAATATATACGGCTCCAAAAGCTCCAAGAATGTGTCTAGATATAACAAAGAGTATTGTTAGTATCAAACATACATTACCTGTCAGTAGATAAACAAGTTGCACCTAGAAGCATGGCAATGGAAGCACATACAACAATATAATCGTATGATAATAGAAGCCTTAAGTGTACCTTGTGCTAGTGAAATTACAGCTGAATGCATGTCGCAAACATGTAATGTTCAATGTGGGTAATTATATCGCAGAAAATGACACAAAAGGCGAAAAAAACAGATTGGTTTCTAGGTGAGAAACCAAGCACATAGTTCAAGTCATTATCATATTGCAATCTAACTTCAAAACCACAACTTTCGACAAGGTCACCACATTTGAAGATCCTACTCTTCTCGAGATTGGACACAGGAAGACAATTATAGCATGCCAATTTTCTTTTCTTCCGTAAATGATAATAAGGCTACAAGAAAAGTGTTAGGTGAACTAGCAAAAGGTTTCATCGCAGAAGTCAGTTTCTAGGAGGCCCCATAAATTATTGAAAGTAAAGAGAATACTCGCCACAATGTTAAAAACTATTTCCTGTCTTCTGGTGGTAGTTTGTTATGATTTTCCCCGGGATGAGACACGGGTCTACTCCCACGAGGCTGACTTCCTTTCATCCATTGTTAGTGTGAGACTATAGACTCATCTTCACAATACAAAGCGTAGGATACAGCTAGTTTTTGCTTCTCAAAAAGAGGATTAACAAAAGACATGGAAGAATACCTCTATGTTCAACAGCAACAAATCTGGAGAAGATCTCATCAAAAAGAATGTCCGTTCTGTTGATGTGTACGCAAAATTCGACAGCAACACCACCGACGCGGGTAAATTGTTCTTTTATTTCATTACGTACAGAACTGCTTCTAGTCATGTGGTCATCCATTTGTTGTACTTTGCCAATTTGATTGCAAAATGCCACTGAAATATAAGAAAATACCTCATCTACATACGAAAAAAGCAACTCCACCAGGTAAGGCATTATGGCATCTTGAACAGCTTGCAGTGTCCTAGGGAGGTCGATGACCCCATGGGCTTGGCCATCGTACAGTGTAAAAGCCATGTTCAAGGCACCCATCCAATCACCTGCCTTCCGTAAAACCTGAATCCTTTCCCTCCAAGGTAGGAGGCGTGAAACAACAAGATGCACAGGTCCAAGAATGTAAATAGACGCGCCCCTCACAGCCATAGAGTTGTGATAAGCTTTCTCAGGGTTTCCAAACAGATTATTGAAGTATGTATGATATGCCATGACATCATCTCCAGCAACACCATCAACAGCAAAACTTGTCTGGTGAATCATATTACCATCCCTTGAGAATAGGCAAAGCTGTCCATCAACTGTCAGAACCACGAGCATCTAAGAAGTATAAAGCCCACAATCACCTACACTGTTCACATTGTTATGAAAATACTTACCTAGTGGAGAGTTAAAATCTAAGAACACGTGAAACAAACCTGGTCATCTAACCAGGCAACTCCTACAGCCGTGCTGTCAAGAGACCACTTCCCATAAACTTTCAGTTCCGAGTTGACCAGCTTAGCAACTTGAACTTTCCGATCCCAAGCAATAGCAAGCAATGAGACTCGTTCGGTGGCTGCTTCGGGAGCACTTTCTGCAAAAGCTACAACCTTTAGAAGTCCTGACTCAATGGACGTTAAATTAATCATTAAATGGATAAGTACCATCAGGAGAACTATATGCTTGCACCATGCACTTCCATGCAGTATATGGCATGGACCCCTCCCGAACACCATCTGGCCTAGACAATGTTGCATAAACTTTTAAAGCAGGACTGAGCCTTACCTGCAGAAAAGACATTCAATTCCAAACAATCATGACGAATAAACCTCCAGGACGAAGTAAGAATTGAAACAAAGTTTACAAGTACATGGAATTTGCGCTATTATCCGAGGACTTCGTACCACCAGAGCAGTTTGGTGGGTGACTAATATGACCACGCCTTCTTCATTCAAAGAGGTGCTTTCATTGAATAGTTTCCAACCAGCATCTGGCCCAACAACACCACCCATCATGCTACCAATACTGCTACTTGAAGCGCTACTGTTCCCCGGGGAGGACATTGAAGCCACTCCAACAAATTCATCATATAGAAGAGGTGATGCTGATAGCACAGTCCCAGTCTTTTGACCATCAAGAAGACACTGTTTCAATTAGCACAAGAGGAATGCACATAGTGAGTATCCACAATTATCTTAAACAGAATAAAAGGATCGCTTAATGTCTAGAAAGTGTTTTGACCTGTGTTTTGACGGAGAACCGATTAAGCAAGGGAACTACTGATAAAGTATGCAACAAAACCAGTCCATTGCTATCACCTGTAACTGCCTTAAATTGACGAGTAACTTGAGAATCCTGACCTAGAAACAGTGTGTGTAACACTGGTGCTGTGTGTTCCCCACTAATAATTTTGGCGGCTGATCCTCTCTGCAAATCCCAGACTGTAATATGACCGTCACCATAACCAGCTAAGAGCAGATCTCCCTGCTGATTGAAGCACATGGAAGTTACTGAGGCATGAGATCGATCCCCTTGCAACCCAAGAATCATCATCTGCAACATTTTTCAGTAAGCAAAATGAAAATATAGTACCAAAAACGTAATGCAGAATTAAAAGAAAATGTGGCATGATGATAATCATCCAAGACACTATGCATAAGGACTCATAGTGGAAATTGGAATGACCATAAGAATTCTTCTTTCAGGCTAGCTAATTTGGCTGTACGTAAACGTCAACTCACAGAAACTTCCAGTTCCCTCCCCTGTATATACCTAACGTGACAATAAGCACCATCTCTAAAAAGGAGGCCAAAACCGAGAGGCCACAAATAGTATATGTACCAGGGGTTACAGAAAAGGCAGAAAGCGCTATAAAGAATGCAAATTTAAACAAGAAACAATCTTTTAGCTCAAAAGGCAGCACAGGCCGAAATTTACCAATTCATGTCTCCAAAAGATTTACTTTTGAGGATTTATCGTGCCAATACACTCCATGCAGAAGCAAGAATAATATGATATATACATCCACAAAGAACTGTGAGAGTAAGTTGCTAACGTTGGCAGATGACAATAAGTCCTCTTGGGTTTGGAGTTCAATAGCAGATGTGTTATCAGCACCAGTCAGCATATAATTCTCCGTGAACAAACATATTGGCCATTGGGAACCTCAAGCGCACAACAAAAAGCACAGTTCCACTATTAAGTCATCCTTCAGTGCTTTTGATTTGTTCACTCTGATCTAGCAGGCACATATTAGGAAAGAACATTGCAAAGTCCTTGATAAAGCTCATCAGCACATGAATAGAACATCTGTCAATGTCGGCATGACTAAATATAAACGAGGAAAAAAGCAACACCTTGGCGTCCATGTTGTCAGCCTGAGTGGCAGAATACTTAGAGGGCAGAACAAGGATGACCCCTTTTGACATCCCAACGGCAATGAAATTAGGATGAACCCGCAAGACTTGGGGGGAGCCATGGTCGCGTCTGAATGCCTGAGAAGAAATGGTCCGGGTGATAGCATTGTCGGAATCAACATCGAAGTATCCCAATGTGGTGGATCCCCTGCGGACACCCTCAAGCCTCATTGGCTGAGCCGCTGCACCCTCTTCCCAGTGGAGACCTGTGGATGCCTGTTTCCTCTCAATCTCTTCAGCCAACTCGAGAGGCTTCTTCTGCGCTTTCTTCTCGGGCTTCTCGCTCATCCTCTTGCTTTCCAACTCCTCAATTCGCTCTTGGACGAGCTCATCTATGTCAGCTGCTGAGATCGCATCATCCCTATCTCCAGAAAGGCCACGCTTTTCAAGAGCTTCCTCGTCACCTGCATCCTTCTCATGGGAATCGTTGGGAATGGAGAGCGCCGGAGTGTCATCGCCGATTATCACGTGGTCCACAAGCGCACTGTCAGCGACCTGGTCAACCTGAAGAAGAGAATCTGCAGGGGACTCGACGGTGGAATCTTGTCGGGCAGGAGGGGAGCTAACCAATTCCGCTTCTTCCTCCTCCTCCTTTTTCTCCTCAAGCGCTGGAGATTCAGCTTCGAGGCGATCTTCAGGAGCAAGATCAACGGCATGCCCTAAAGCGGATTGGAATTCGCCCATCTTACTATCATCGCCCTCCGCATCATCCTCGTCGTGCTGCAACCTCAACTGACCATCCAAGCCACGGAGCGCGTCAACGGAAGAGTCCAAGGCATCATGGGAATTGGAGACGGAAGGAAAAGAGGAGGAGGAGGAGGAGGAGGAAGGAGTGAGGAGAGCCCTACGGGACTTGAGAGCGGCGGCGTGAGGGGTGGGGAGGGAGCGGGAGGCGGCGGCTGCGGCGGCGAGGGCAGCCCCGGGCTTGGCACTGGACCTCACCCCGCCAAAAAGGGAAGGCAGCTGCCTAGAAGAAGACGGTGCCCGGAGGACGGAATCGGGAGGCTTCGGTCGAGAATTGGAAGGACTGGGCTTCTTATCATGATGATCGGGCAACGGAGGAGGCCGAGGAGGGGGTGGGGACACCGGGGATCTGAAGGCGTCCAAGGAGACGCCGACGGACGGTTGGCTTCGCTGCCGGGGCGAGGACGGAGGAGACGAGGAAGGAGGAGAAGGAGAAGGAGAAGGAGAAGGAGGAGGAGAAGGGGAAGAATCGGAAAGGGACTCGTTGAGGATTTCCTCGATGGTCCGGTGAGGGAAGGATCTCCAGTCTTCATCTTCTTCGTCGCCGTCGTCTTCTTCGTCGTCGTCGCCGTCGCCGTCGCGGCGGTCGTTCCGGGAATTAAGAAAAGAATGGACGTCGAGCTCCATGCGGTGGTGGTGGGGAAGAGGAGGGAGCTGCTTCTTCTGCTCAGTCATGTCTATTGTCTGGTCCGGAGAGTCGGTCGCCCCCCTCCCGCTCACCCCACTCGTGTTCCGTTCCGTGTCTTCTTCCGATAGATCGAGATTGGAAGATCAAAAAGGGACAAATCGTATACATCTACAATACTCCCCCCCACTTTATGTTTTTTTATTACTCTCGTCCCTCTTTCCATTTTCTCATTATGATTTCTTCTCGCTAAGATTCAATTTTTTAAAGTTTCAAAACTCCGTATTTTAGAGTTCTGGAATCGAATTAAAAACCCCCCCTCAAATATTTCAGAATGTACAACAAGCTTGCGCGAGCAACATGCACCTCACACCGTAGCACGTTAATAACATATCATCTATATTATCACATGAAAGTATAGAAGGCCACCTAATTTTGAGGGATCCCCATCCTTTTACTTCTCCAAAAACATCCTAAATTAATCATTTTGTAAATATCCTCTCAATGTACATATGCATAAATGCGTAATTTCATTTTATCTTTATTTATACGTATCCTAATTGCTTTCCATTTTCATATTCATATATCTCGTTCGTTATAAGATGCCTTTGCATTTGCATTTGAATTTTTGTTAATGAAAAGAAGTGTCCCTGTTCTTTATGTCGTTACTATTTTAGTCGCATGCAATTATATGTGTACAATTTATTTATTCATATTATATCGTAATTTAATTCTGTTTTATAATTAAAAAAATGACACGAGTGATTTTTGAACTTTGGCTCAGTATATAATGTCGTCTCTGAACTTTTAATTTATTTAATGTGATCAATGAGCTCTAATTAGATGTGCAATGTGATCTCTAAACTTTCAATTTGTGCAATATGATCCAAGAATTTTTAATTTATTCATGTTTTTCATTGTAAGAAGCTTTTGCGGAAAAATTTTAATGTCATTTTTTTGCAGACACGCAAGGTGTGTGCATTTTCGCTTGGACTTCATTAGAAGAAGCTTTTGCCAAAAAACAAAAAATTTAAAGCGTGCGTCTAGATGGGCTTGGCAGATTGGACTTCGTTCCAACAATGATCAATACTTGGGTCGAGCCGGGTAATAAAAGGTTTATTTTATAAAGCCCAGTCAAGTAAGTTGGAGATCTAGTGGGCTTTTTAACACAATGATGCGGATTATTTGTTCTTCTATGCAGTCCAAAGCATTTCATATGAACCAAGAAACCATTTGCTTTTTATAGTTTGATATTTCAATAGTTGGGGCGGCAAATATAGGCAACTTTGTGGGTGCAACGCCTCACATCGCAGCGCAATTACAATACAGCCATAGTTACACCAGGAAATCTAATATATACTAGGAAGATCTCCTGCTTTACAGGGATCGCAATCATTTTATTTCTAAAGGATATACTTAATTAATCCTTTCATTAGTGTTATATCAACTGACATATGCGTAAGTTAGTAATTCTATATATATATTTTTTTAGCAAGCCAGTAATTCTATTTGATCTCTTACATATTTCAATTTCATAATTTGGATCTTTTTTTTCAGATAAAATGACAGTGAGTAGAAAAAAAAAATTCAGATGATATTTTTCAAATCATTTTTCCTTCGAGTTAAGCTTTGTTAGCAATAACATGCTGCAACTGGTCCCAATATTTTGGGTGAGCAATACCAAGTTTTTGGACATGTATAGATTTTGAGAACTTCAAACTAGTGGAACCACATCTTGACTTATTTTCATCTTCACGGTGATGATCATATCTCTCTTTCTTCAACATTTGAGCGTATTATTTTCTATTTATCATTATTCACGATACCACCTTTTAACGTCCTATTCGAACAACTTCCGTTACATATACGAATGAAAAAGTTATAGAGATTAGCCGAAAATGCAGTATAAGAATAGTCCTCCAAAACTTATCATACCTTTACATATTACACATCGCTCCAAGTAATTTCTAATGAGACACGAGCCCAGCTTGCTTAGATATATATATGCATGTATCTCCTTGATTGTGCATATCCATGATTAGTTAGTTTTTATGTCATAAATCTCGTTACCTTAAATGGTTAACTACACAATTCTCTCTTCCTTTTGTTCTTATATTGGTATCAAAGCCAGACGTTCTTGAATTCTCCTTTTGCTCGGTGAAAATATTTCTTTCCTTACCTTATTCGAGAAACGAGAACTAAGATTTGCTTTATCCGATATCAAACGAAAACTACGAGCAGATAGAATACCTTTCAATATCAATAGCATTGCGTGAATCTCCGTTTCAAAACTATAGATGAGATTTTCCCCTTGTGCGGTTCCTCCCTTACGTGCATAATGAGAATAATACATGGAATAAAAAAAATTGAAAATATTCTTATTATTCACTGAGTGGGGCTAGTGTTTTTACAAAAAAAATATCCCTAGCTAACCTTCCTGCAAAAAGATCCTGTTTAACATCAAATGGGTTGATGCTAGATTTAAAAAATGGTAACCTCAACAATTTCTTTGTCCCCCGCGCCCCTATAATTCCAGTAATTCATCATTTCAACAGTTTTCGATGGCTATATGGGTATCCAAAATACAAACGAAATGGATGTTTCTTGGTCTAACCATTCTTCTTAGTTCCAGTCTCGATAAGAAGGAAGTATAATTTATAGCAAAACAAAGCTTTCGTGCTGTTGTTTTTTAGGCGTAGTGGTTCTTTTCTCATGCTCCCTAATGGTACTAACGGATTAGGGTTGATCCCACAATACATAACCCATAGGTGTAACCTTTCGCTCAGTATTAGAGCGGGCACAGATCCATTTTGCAACTCATTTTTAACGGGCCCCTACTAAAATGGGTAACTCATTTAGCTAAGGCGGGTCAAAATGGGTCAATGAAAAAACAAAATTTGTTAAAATGGGTCATGATGTGTTGTTTACATAACCCATATTTAACACCCGTTCGCCGGTCGATTGGAGGTCACCGATTAGTGTTGGCTACTGCCGATCGTCGAAAGTCGTCTTCCACTACCGATCGTCGCTGGTCACCAGATGCCGTCGTCTATTGCCAGTCGTAACCGATCGCCACCAATCACCGTTGGCCGCCTGTCGTTGCCACCGTCCACAACCGGTTGTCAGTCGTCACCATCCATTGTCAATTGCTGGTCGTTAGCTGTTGCCAATCACTAGTTGCCAGACATAGAAGAAAAAAAAGAAATAAAAAATAAAAAACATCCATAGTGTTTTAGCAAAATATATTTTTAAAATTTATAAGAAACAAGTTTTTCTAAATTGGATCAATATTGAAGTCTTTTAGCAATATGGGTCGAGTCAAATATGAGCCATGTTGGGTATGAATCGCTAGAATTATATTATATGAAAATTAGTCAAAACGGGTTAGATGGATCAATATGGCTCGGACCATTGACAGTGTTTTACCCCTAAATGTCCGGTCAACTACTGCGCCTCAATGCATTTCGAGGAAACCAGCTAGGCTAGCCCTGAGTTTATTTTCATGCTTACATTTATGTTTCTTCAACATTTGAGTTTATAATTTGCTCTTCATCATTATTCGTGATACCAACTTAAAGTCGTAAAAAATTTTAGGTCGAGTGACAATTCTGATATGAACTTTTTTTTATCTTGGAAAGCATCAATTTTAGGTCGAGTGACAATTCTGGCCTCAACTTTTTTCTATCTCATAAAAAATCATAAACTTTTGCCCTTATCTTAAATCTGGCCCCTTGTTGACTCTCTATCTGAAGTCACCCTAGTTTGAGAAAAAAAGTTATGGCGGTGAGCTTCATCCATGGCATCTATTGACGGGCAGTGGTCTACAACTTCATATTACGACAAAACGACGAAGTCTGGCAAGAGAGATTCAATCTACAGATATTTTTTACTTATCGGTGAAGTGAAGGAGATGAACAGTTTCACCGTTATTCTTCAAGCTGTGGCTCATAAAATAAGACAATGAATAGTGCTTTAAATCCAGTTAGCAAGTCATATAGATTTATTGCTAAAGTGGAATAGTTAAGTTGGATAATCAATGGTTCTAAGTCAATGGAGGCCAGATTTGGGATTTAAGTAAAAATTCATTTTTTTTAAGAGACAAAAAAAAGTTGAGGCCAGAATTGTCACTCAATCTAAAGTTTGTGCTTTTTTACTAGACAAAAAAAAAAAAATTGGGCCCAAATTGTCACTTGACTTTAAGTTGGGGCTTTTTTTGGAATTAGGCCCCCAAACTCACGATGCCTTTACAAATTAAAGATCGCTTTAATCTCTAACCGTGAAGCAAGAAATAAAGCATCTCTTTTGGAATTAAACAACTTTTCAACCAACAAGACTTCGGTTTTTTTAAAGGTTTAAATATCATGAAAAATCATAAACTGCTACATCTACGACAAATTTACCTTAAACTAATTTTTTGACTTCCAAAAACCCTAAACTGATATACATATGACAAATTTATTCATGTCAAATTGCCGAGTTGAATGACACGTGGCAGTTAACGGATATACCAGTTGGGAGTTTTACCCTCCGTCTATCATATGTGTACGAGTTTATGATTTTTGGTGGTGTTAATTCAATTTAACGGAAATTAACGGAGGGTAAATTTGTCACAAGTGTATCAATTTAGGGTTTTTTTGTGATTCAAAAATTAATTTAAGATAAATTTATCGTAAATGTATCAATTTGGAGTTTTTCGTGATATTAATTCTTTTTTAAATAAGAGTGTAGTCCGCCGAATCAGATTACTTTTTTGGTCTTCTTCGTTTTTGTCTATTAAACGTTTGATTGTCTAGACACTTGTCTCCATTCAGTCCGTTCGTTTGCTTCTAGATTCTCTTCCGGGAGATCAATTGACATTACCTCCTCACCAACCAGTGAAGGAGGCAAGACGCTACCACTTATATCATTCGTTGCGCCTTAGCCGAGTGTCAAGGATTGGACACCGTTGGTGTTCCTTGCTCAGAAATAATGCTTCACGTGGAAAAATCGCTCTACCCTTCCTTTGAATAAACAAGTATATCAAACTATATTAATGCTAGTAATGTATTTCAATGGAGAGTTTGAAAAA